ATATTTATGATGACTCAAAAAGAGCTGAATATTTTTATGAAACTTGAAATATGGATAGATGATAGTATGGAAATTATACACATCATTTTAATCTCGGTTCTTGACTATTGGGAGTATATTTAGAATTGTAATAATTTGCAAACGTCAGCAACCTCGTCAAGATTTCTGATTCTAGTTTTCAGGCTTTTTCACTATAAGTTCTTTATTTCTTAAGGCATTTATTTCAAACTTCAAATATAAGTTTCTGGTCATCAACCACATCATATGTGATAAGGTTTTCATTTCTAGCACAAAAATTATCAGTATTGCCTCCCTTGAACTTAGAATTTTCATGAATTATCCGTATTTCCAGAATTATCTCCTTCTTAAACTTTGAATTTTTCTTATTCATTATGTTAACTTTTTTACTTCAATTTCAAAATAAACATTCATTATGAACAGCTTCATAACTATTTGTTCTTGGTTAACGCTCACATCATGTATGACTTTTTGTATCTTTCTTTCAAGAGTTATCTCCTCTTTAAGAATTTTGCTTTTAAAAGTGTTATATTTTGGTAACAGGGATGTTTAAAAAATTAACTTTAGAGTGTCCGTCAGTCCGTCTGTCTGTTTATAAAAACTGTTTCCTGTGATCACCTTTAAAGAACTTTTCCAACAAGTTTACTTAAAATAAAGAAAAATTGAAACATTAGTGAATGGCCCTTCAGAATGTTGCTGGGCTTCTAACCAGTAGTGAACTTATGGATTGCTTGCAATACTATCATAATTGCTTGTTCCAGCTACCCTCCAATTGCATAACTTATTAATGATAGCTTTCATTCAGTTTCAGGTCATATATTGATTATTATTTTTTTTCCATAACTGAAAACTTCCATGTTCCCATTTATAGCATGTTCCTATAAGAATATTACCAATAGTATGAGTCAATGGCTAAAAAGGGGGGGGGGGCATAATGTTGTTCAACATTTCTTGTTATCTCTTAGATTCTACATGCAACCTCATATCTTTATAAACCAGTGAAGGGTTTCCCTGGAGCCTTTATGCTGTGAAGCGTAACTTTTCATAAAGGTTCATTGTTTCAGAATTTATGAAAGCTACTCACTTAATACCTTATTTTCATAAAAGATGCTATTTCATGAGGACAGATATTCATTTCAGCTTTATAATGTTTCAAAGGGTAGATGATCTTAAAATTCATTTTGGCAAAGTTATATTCCTTTGTAACTCACCAGCTGCTGGTGCTCAAAGGTGAATTTTTGTGATGGCCATTGTTCGTTGTCCGTTGTTTTCCACAATTTCTTTAAACAACATCTACTAAACCACAGAATGGATTTTGACCAAACTTTACAGGGATGACCCTTATGGTGGTCTTCTACAAAAGTTGCATAAGAGGTCCAGATTGATACATAAATAGTTCACAGGAGATTAAAAAGACTTTAAAAATTATATCTTTAAAAATATCAGAAACAAGAATTCCCTGAGCCTAGATTTTTGGCATGTAGCATCTTCTGGGTTCTCTACAAGTTATTAATCCCCTTCCACGTATTATAGTACTGGCCTTCGTCTGTCCGTCCATCCATCCATAAGAATTTTGTGTCCGCTCAATAACTTTTAAATCGCTGATTTTTTTTAAAAATAACTTGTTACAAGTAATCACCATAATGAGACGTTGTCCAGATTGCAACAATTGGGTTGCTACCCCTAAGGTTAAGGTCACACTTCACTGATTTTTTCCTGTATTTTACTGCCGAATAAAGGCTGTTTCCCCTTGTCCAAAATAGATATATTTTCCCCTAAAAATGCTTATATTTTCCCCTGAAATGCCATGTGCATATTCTTTACCAGAACTGTGACTTAACAGCAGCTGTCTTATATCAGCTAGATGTCCCTTTAGATAGCCTCTGCTTTGTACCATGCATGCTAAATTGAACTGAAATTGAACATTGTATAAAATGTGTGGTAAATTCCATTCTTAGCTATTGGAATTTGACTTAAGATTTCCATTTACCACGCTTTATTTTCCCCTCCAGAAAGCCACAGGTTGTTTTGAAAATTGAAAAAAAAACTCACTGCAATTTAAGGTCAAAAGTTAAAAAGTCTACATTTCATAATAAAAAGTCTACTTTTCGTGTTCGCTCCATAACTTTTTAACCGCTGAATTTTTTTAATAACTTGGCAGAGCTGATCACCGTTATGAGACGATGTGCAGAGCGCAATTATTGGATTGCTACAAAAAAGGTCAAGTTCTCACTTAACATGTCAAATGTTAAAAAGTCTACATTTAGTGTCCGCTCCATAGTTTTTTAACCGCTTAAATTTAAAAAAATAACTTAGCACAATTGATCACCATTATAAGACCATGTGCAGAGCCCAATAATTGGGTTGCTACCCCCAAGGTCAAGTTCTCACTTAAAGGCCTAATGTAAAAAGTCAACATTTCGTGTCTGCTCCATAACTTTTAAACTGCTTAAATTGAATAACTTAGCACAAGTGATCACCTGATTATTAGACGATTTGGAGAGGGCAATAATTGGGTTGTTACCCCAAGGTCAAGGTCACATTTAAAGGTAAAGTGTTAAAAGTCTGCATTTCGTGTCTGCTCCATTACATTAAAACCGCTGCAATGTTTTTAAGATAACATGGCACAAATGATCACCATTATGACACCATTGGCAGAGCACACTAATCAAGTCACAATCCTGAAGGTCAGGGTCGCACTCGAAGCTATGTGCTTATGATATGCATGGCACAACATTATGGTTATGGTTGGTAAAAGGTCAAGAAGTACACATTCATGTTCACTGCGGAAGGGGATATAGCTGTCCTTTAGGCTGCCTTGTATAAATCATGTCTTTGGGTCAAAAAATGGCCTGGTCCTTTTGGTCAGTTAGTTTTAATAGGCTTACATAGGAAAATATATTAGGTCTTCATTTATAGAACTGCTATGCCTACAGCTTAGATATTTGGCATGTAGCATTGTCAAGTGGACCTCTTCAAAAGTTATATAAAATCATGCCCCTGATATCAAAATTGTCTGCACCAAGAGGGTAACTTTATTCACTTGTAAAGTGATGTATCTTATTTAGAGACTTTTCAGAAACTACAATGCCTAGAACTAAGATATTTAGCTTGTACCATTACCTTGTGGTCTTTTTCTAAATTAATATATGCCCCTTGGGTCAAAATTTAGCCAAACACTTGGGATCACTTATTTTACATAGACTGGTATAGTTATAATCTTCTCTGAAATAGAAATGGCAGGAGCTTAGATAATGCTACATGTAACATCACCTAGTGGTCCTCTACAAGTTCAAAAATTAGATATTTATCATTCCCTGGGGTAAAAAATGGCCTGCTCTGGGGGTAAATTATTATATAAAGACTTGTATAGTAAAAATGTCAAAAATATTCTTTTTGAAATTATAAAGCCTAGAGCTTAGATATTTGGTTTGTAGCATTGCCAATACACACACACACACACACACACACACACACGCACACGCACACGCACACGCACACACACACACATATATATATATCTACAAAAGTCATTGTTATTGAAATTTTGCATTGATGTATAGTGGCACCTACAAAACATTAGATATCTGTAAAATATTCCTCATGCTCTTGTTATCCTTTTTACCCCCCGCCGAATGGCGGTTGGAGATATAGAAATAGTCTTCGTCCGTCCGACCTTCGTCCGTCCGTCCTTCCGTTCGACATTTTTGTCAGGAGCATATCTCAAAAAGTGTTTGAGGTATCAACTTGAAACTTCATAGGCTGATAGATCTCATTGAGGAGGAGTGCAGTGCACAAGAATGATAAATCTACCCTGCTTAATTTATGAGTTATTGCCCTTCGTTATTTTTCAAACTTCATATTTTGTCCAGAGCATAACTCAAAAAGCCTTGGAGATATCAATATGAAACTTCATAGGTGGATAGATCTCACTCAGGAGGTGTGCAATGCACAAGAATAAAAACTCTGCTTTTCATAATTTGTTATTTTTCATACTTAATATTTTCACATGAGTGGAGCATAAGTCAAAAAGTCTTTGAGATGTCAACATGAAACTTCATAAGGGGATAGATCTTATTGAGGAGAAATGCTGTGTGCAAAAACGATAACTCTTTCCTTTATAATTTTTGAGTTATTGCCCTTTGTTATTTTTCATACTTTTTGTCCGGAGCTTATATCAAAAAGTATTTGAGGTATCAACTTGAAACTTCATAGGTGGATAGATCATATTGAGGAGGAGTGCAGTGCACAACAATGATAACTCTACCCTGCATAATTTTCTCAGTTATTGCCCATTGTTATTTTTCAAACTTATTTTTTGTCCAAAGCATAACTCAAAAAGCCTCTGAGATATCAATATGAAACTTCATAGGTTGATAGATCTTACTCAGGAGGTGTGCAATGCACAAGAATGATAAGTCTACCCTTCATAATTTTTAAGTAATTGCCCTTTGTTATTTTTCATACTTAATTTTTCACCTGACTGGGCTGAGTGGAGCATAACTCAAAAAGTCTTTGAGATGTCAACATGAAACTTAATAGGTGGATAGATCTTATTGGGGAGGAAGCTGGTGAAAGAATGAAAATTTTCCTTGATATTTTTTGAGTTTTTGGGTTTTGTTATTTTTCAATTTTTGTCCGGAGCTATCTAAAAAAAGTGAAAGGAGGTATCAATTTGAAATTTCATGGCGGATGATTCATTGGGGAGGAGTGCAGCACGCAAGAATGATAATACCCTGCGTTTTTTTTCATTTTTTTCCCCTTCCCTTTATTGTCAGCCAATTATTCCTGTTTCAATATTTTATCACTCACCCATTAGTTTTCATTACCAAAAACCTAAAAAAATTTTAATTACTCTCTCTCTTTTTTTTCCAATGGCAAACCCCATTGGGGGGGTCCTCTGGCTCGTTTTTTAAAACTGGGATTTAAAAATATGAAAAATCTTCTTTCGGAAGCTTCTCCTTAAAATTTGGGAAAATGACATGAGTTGGTACCAATATGGAGTTGGAATATGGCATAAGTCGGTACCATATGGCGTAAGTCGGTACCAATGTGGAATCTCAAGCACTAATGCTTGGCAGATATATCAGATTTTTTTTTATCTCATTTAAGCATTGAATTAAAATCATAGTATTATATCATATATTTTCAGGAAATGAAAACATCAAGAATTTTGCACCCATTTATTCTTCCATTGCTAGCTATTGTTGACCTACCATCACAAGATTGGTAAGATTGGTAGATATACACGGTAAAAGAAAGAGTGTAACACCAAGTACAACAAGATTTATGTTAAGATCGTTTTTACAAAATGACCAACACATGGTCTTTATCTGGCCTTTAGATCTGCTCTTGACTGAATATGTTATTGTTCCTTTTTGTTGTAGAAAGTAGATGAAAGTTACAAGTGATACCAATTATTTTTATTGTATTAGTTTATCTTTTGTAATACTCCCACCAACAAAGTTTTGGGTGCTATATAGAAGTCAGTTTGGAGGTTGTTCCGTCTGTAAGTCTGTCAGTCTGTCAGTCCACTTCATGGTTTCTTGACAGTAACAAGAGTTAGGAATGAGATATTGTAATCAAAACTGAGTATATAGCAAACTTACATGAAGACCCAGCTTGTCCGTCCGGCTGTCGATTTTTCCTTGTCCGCCCAATAACTTAAGATTCCTTTGACCCACAGTCTTCAAATTTAGTATTTAGATTGGTCTTGATAAACAGATGATGCCTTTTGATTTTGAGGTCACCCGGTCAAAGGTCAAGGTCACAGTGGCCTTGGCTATAAAAAGCTTGTCCGCCCAAAAACTTCAGTATCCTTTGACCAACAGTCTCCATATTTGGCATGAAGGAAAGTCATGACTATGAGATGACCCCATTTAGATTTTAAAGTCACTGGGTCAAAGGTCAAGGTCACAGGGGCCTTGACACAAAAAATTGTCTGCCCAAGAACTTAAGATTCCTTTGACCCACAGTCTTCATATTTGATATTTTGCTTGGTCAGGATTAGTAGAAGACCCCATCAATTTTGAGGTGACCAGGTCAGAGGTCAGAGGTCAAGGTCACAGGGCCTTGACTTCAAAAAGCTTGTCCGCCCAGTAACTTAAGCATCCTTTGACCCACAGTCTTCATATTTGGGATGAAGGTTAGTCTTGACGCCTATTGTTTTTCATGGCCCTTGGTTAAAGGTCAAGGTCACAGGAACCTTGACTAAAAAAAAACTTGTCCGCACAATAACTTCCTTTCCTTTGACTCACAGTCTTTATATTTGGCATAGAGATAAGCCATGATTAGTAGATGACCCCTATCGATTTTGAGGTCACTGGGTCCAAGATCAAGGTGACAGGGACCTTGACTAAAAAAGCATGTCCGCCCAATATCTTAAGATTCCTTTCACCCAGTATTCATATTTGGCATGGAGGTTAGTCATGATTAGGAGATGACGCCTATTAATTTTGAGGTCATTGGGTCAAAGGACAAGGTTAGATGGGCCTTGACTGAAAATAAGATTTTCCGACCAGTTACTTAAGATTCCTTTGACCCACTGACTTCATATTTGGCATGAAGGTTAGTCATGATTATTAGATGACCCCTATTGATTTTTAGATCAAAGGTCAAGGTCAGAAGTGCCTTGACTAAAAAATTTGTCGCCCAAAAACTCAAGAATCCATTGACCCACAGTCTTTATATATTTGGACGGAGGTTGATCATGATAATAAGGTGACCCCAATTGATTTTTAGGTGACTGTATCAAAGGTCAAGGTCACAGAGATTGTAACTATAATAAGCTTGTCTGCTCAAATGCTTAAGAATGCCTGTCTGCAGTGTATTGATTTTGACATTTTCACATTTGAAGCATGTAGAATACATAACTTAGCAATGCACTGGCTTAGTAACCTCAGATTTGGCATGGAGGTTGTCCTTGAGCTCTAAATGGCCACTATTGATTCTGACAAAGTGGTATGCGGGGATTATCACGCCATGACAATGGCATTTCTATTTAAAGTAAAAAAATGGTTTCCAGACATTAACAAGAGACAGGAAAAATGAGATAATGTTATTTGGTAAATAGTAAGCTTATGAAAGGGTTCCCACGGTCAAGGAAAAATCAGGGAAAAATGATTTTTTTTCAAGGTCAGGGAAAAGTCAGGGAAATTGATGAAATTTTGAAATTGATCAGGGAAATATGAAAAATAAGCAATTGTCAGGGAAAAGTCAGGGAATTTTGTGAGAGAAGAATGTTGATCAAACTGTTGGAAGTAAAATCAGTCAAGGATAAGGCAGTTACTTCGATTTTTTTTTGGGTATCTTTATATTTATTTACCATTATTGGCATCTTTTTTATTCTTGTAAATATCTTACTCTAAAAATATGCTTATGTCTGTAAATTTTCGAAATCTTTTGTCATTTAAAGTTCTTTAACTTTATAGTGGAGTTACAAAATCTTCTAAATAACAGGTAGTCCAAAATTAGCCAAACTTGGCAGGATTGCTCTTTTGATAAAGGGTTTCCAAATTTGTTCAAAGAATTTGATTTGATTCTATTCAAGAATCTGGTTGTCATTGCAACGAAAAGAAATTATAAGAAAAAAAAAAGAATTAAAAACATCTACTTTTAAAGACCCACAAGGCTTAGAGCTTAGATATTTTGCAAAAGGCATCGTCTATTGGACCTCTAAAAAGATTGTTCAAATTATAGACCAGGGGTGAAAATTGGCTCCCCCCAGGGGATCATTGATTTTCATTATGTACATATAGTAAAAAATTTAAAAAATCTTCTTGTCTGAAGGGAAACAACTCGTATTGGAATGTCTTTTATAACATTTGTACAAGTTATGCAATTTAAAAAAAAAAACTGATTCACAAACTGGAAGGTTTAAAGGTCATAACCTTTAGCAGGAGAAATGTTTGCTTATAATAGATATTTATGAAATGATTAGAAGTCATGAACTCTAGCAAGAGAGATCTGAGCTTTGCAAGAATATTTATGAAACAATTTGAGCACATAATAAGGACATTATGATTTTCACTATGTATATGATGATGATTTAAATTTTAACTATTAAAGAAATAGGTAATGCTTAATTGAAAAGAACGCATTAAGAGATATAAATGTAACTGTTTTTCAAAGTTTATAAGAGCAATGTAACACAGTAAATACCTATCAATTATTCTATTTTATATTGCCTTTGTATTTTAACATTAGACACATCTGCATATTTTCTTACATATGTCATGCTCAGACCTGGGGTAATCATTAGTTGTAATAATTGATTTTTTAATCGATTACACGATTACACTGTAATCATCATGTAATTGATTACCTTGCCAAAATTGATTAATTTAATTGTAATTAATCAATTACAGCTAAAATTCAGTCAGTAATTATGATTACAATTTGATTGACATTGATTACTTTCAGATTTAACAGGAAACTATTTTAATTCAAAGGATGCCTTTATTTTACATGAAAGAGTTTAACTTTTGTTTTACATTTATATAGTAAAAGCCTTTAATAAAGACCATCATCTGGGCTGGACCAAAGTGGTCATAATTGTGAATGTTCTTATCATTGCTTACATACTTTACGACCATGGTCTGTTTTAGTCATTTTGTATGAAAAAAACAAACCAGCATGTATCTTAAGCTACAAATACAATATCAAAGACACTATGAAAGTATGCTTTGATATCGGATGAGAGGAAAACATACTTCTGAAAAATTTATCATAAAATTCTCTTTGGTCAGATTTCAATATCAATTATTATATGATGAACATAAATCACCTATCAAATAAAAGTTAATTCCGAATAAAGGAAAACTTTGTTAACATTCTAGAGGCTACTGTTTCAGTCCAAATATCCTGGAAATTTACCTGAAAGGTTGTTGAGATTATTCCTAGCACAAAGTTCAAATTCGTTCATCTGGGGTGAAAAATTAGGCCACACAGCCCAAATATGACAAAACCTTGTTAACATTTGCATTTTTCAGATGCAGTTATGAATATTATGATATCAGTTGAAGATTAAGACATTGTATCTGTTTTTCATCTTTAGTTAACAATGATAATAACTGTTTATGGGGACATTTTGTCCTTTTTACACATTTCAAGTTTTAATCTTTAAATCATTTGTTAATATTATGATAAATATACATGAACTTTAATATTTCAGGGAAAGAGAGTTTTGGTTTGTCTCTCCACTTTGTGAAAACGGTGATCTTTATGAAGTCCTCAGACATGACAGGATGCAACAGATCCCGAAACTGAATGGGCAGAAAAGAGTGAAAATTCTGCTCCAAGTTGCTTTAGCTATCAAGTACATCCACACTGAAGTGCCTGATGTCAGGTAACGAGTAATCCCTTTTTTTTGAGGCCCCAACTGGGTAACCCCATTTATTCATCCCGTAATAGGTATGAGAGGGTCGGGGTCATCCCCCACATACCTTACATTATCTATACATGTATATCACATTGTAATATTTACAAACAAAATATCATAATATACCTTAAATTTTATCATATTAACATTATAATTAAAGCATACAAATTGTCTATTTTACACATGTATGTAAGTTATTTAAAAACCGAAAACAAAAGAGAACCTAACATAAATATAGAATGTCAGTGTAATTTATTCGATTAACAATCTTACAATTTGCTATCTTTTAATTTCAGTGTCGGTCAAATAGTCCAGGCTAATTTAAGGCTATTTTTAAAGCCATAACATGTGGGTAACATTTTTTTCTCTAAGACAAATATATGTATTTTTTCAATTCTAAAAACAATATATCATATTCGAAGTCCTTATCTTCAGAACCTAAAATAAAAGATTTACAGTTGAAAATATTGTCAAAATTATGTATGTTACTTTGTAAATATTGAAATAGAGACTGAATTTTTTGACATTCCCAACATAAATGTATAAGTGTTTCTTCTTGACAGTTGCAGAAAGTACACATTTTATTATCGACAATTTTCATTTTAAACAGCATTGAGTTTGTTGCTAAAGTTTTGTGAATTATTCTAGTCTGAAACCACTGAATGTATGAATCTTTGGTACATTTAAATACATAACTATATATCAATGGCCAGTTTATTTCATTATCTATAAAGTATGTGTTCCATTTTTCCTTACTTGTTGGTACATCTGTATTTTTGACAAAAGTTTCATACAGGTATTTCTTATTGCTATTTGTAATAATAATAGGTTTGATAAAACAGCTTACAATAGGATATTGAACATTTAGCAAATCAGTATTAATGGTAATATTTAGCTTTAGCATGTAAGATGTTATAGCCCGTTTTAAACCATGATATTCTAAAAAATTTACTTGTTTGCCTATACACTGTTCTAAAAGATTTAACTCAATAAAATCACCTTGACCATTAAGAATATCTTTCACAAATCTTATTCCTTTATCATAAAAAGATTTAATTTAGATATATCTATGTCCTATTGAAAAGCAATGGTTATAAAACTGTGGCATATGTAATATTTGTTCGAAGTTATCTATACAAAGTTTATCAACAAAGGTCATGTAAGCTTTTAAAACATCAATCCAGAAAGCATTCTTAATCTTATAATTAATTAATATACAGTACATTTTTCCAAAATTAAAAACTTTATCAATATTAAACAATGAGTTAACAAACTTATAACATTTACTATCACATATCTTTTAAGCCATTTTATTTTCAAAGAATGAACATAACTACTAATATCTACCATGTTAAGACCACCTTCTTTGTATGTTTAAATGATTACAGATTGTTTAATTTTTGCCTTACCTTCCCAAATGAAATGATAAAATAAATCATTAAGTGTTTTCAAAAAAACATTATTAGGTGTATGTAGGCCTGTAAAACAATGAGTAAACAAAGGAAGCAATTTTGACTTAACAACAGTGATTTTTCCTAGTGGAGTTAATACCTTTTTTTCCAATGACTAATACTATTTTTTACTTTCTGAAGCTTTTCATCAAAATTTAGATCAATCATTTTTTCTAAATTAACATCAAAAGTTAATCCTAATAGTTTAAACTGCGTGTCACCCCATGTTAGTTTCCACCTTGTCTTAATTGATCTAGTACTATATTTAAGAGAGCCTATCCAAATAACCTTAGTTTTGTCAAAATTTATCTTTAAACCCGAAAGTTCTGTTAATTTATTTGACAAATTTAAAGCAGTATTAAGTGATTTTTCTGAACCATCCAAAAGTAGTGATATATCGTCCGCAAACTGAGATATTTTATATTCCTCGCCATCTATCTTTATACCTTTAACATCTTTACATTGTCTTTTTTTAACTGCTAAAATTTCTGCACACAGAATAAAGATATAAGGAGAAATTGGATCACCTTGTCTACAACCTCGTTTAATTAAAAAAAATGGATAAAAAAACATTCAATATTACACAAGTTTCAGTTTTATATAAAAACAGAGAAATCCATTTCCTAAACATTGGACCAAAATGAAATAATGAAAGACATTTCTCTATAAATGTAAAAGATAAAGTATCAAAAGCTTTTTCAAAATCAATCTGGTATATTATTATCTTCAGTGTATTTCATTATATCATACAATAATCTAGTATTTTCACCAATGTACCTATTTTTAATGAAACCAGTTTGATCTTTTGACACTAAAATATCTAAAACACTTTTAAGTCTGTTTGCTATACTACCTGAGGCTAATTTATATACTACATTTAGTAAAGTAATCGGTCTCCAGTTTTTTAAAATTTTTTAGGTTTATTTTGTTTTGGAATGCATGTAATTGTTCCTAATTTTTGATTTCTAGAAAATGAATTAACCTTATATGCATAATTAATAGCTTTCACTACAAAATGTCCAATTCTATTCCAAAAAGTTTTGAAGAAGTTTACTGTAAATCCATCACACCCAGGGCTTTTATCATTTTTCATATTTTTTTATGTAAAGGAGACTTCATCATATGAAAGGAGACCTTCAAGCCTGAGTGATTCACTATCAGACAACATATTAATATCACAATCCCTAAATTCTCTTTCAATATTACAATCATTCAAAGTTACATTTTTGTAACAAGTTTTCATAATAAGCACTAGTTTCTTTAAGTATATCCTTTTGATCATAAATAAAAGTTCCATCATCAAGTTCCAGAAAAGGTATTGTCTTAGCTGAACAATGTGATTTCTCTAAATTTAAAAAGTAATTAGAAGGTTTTTCTCCGGATTCAATCCATTGTGACCTTGACCTAATCATAGCACCCTTTATTTTATTGTTTCTTAATTCAGTCAGTTCGTTTTGTTACTGTAGAAGTTTGTCTTTATTATCATTTGTCAAGTTTTGTTCTAGAAAAATAATTTCTTCAAATAATTTTTTTTCATATGTATTTCTTGCATTAGCTTTAAAAGAGCTATAAGAAATGGATTTACCTCTAATTTCCATTAAAAGTGTCTCTAAAAAAAGTTCATCATTAATAACAAAGTCTATATCTTTATTGTTTATATTCAAAACATAATCTATATTGTATAGAGGTAAACACTATTGCAATTTTATTTCATCTATTTTCTTTTTAATGATATCAAGGAATTCAATGTCATGTAAAAGAGAATTATTAAATTTCTATAAACCTTTTCCATGATTAACAGGAACAAAACAAAAATCCAAATATATCATTGAATGATCAGATCTATAACTAAAATCAATATCACATTTACGTACAAACTGATATAAATTTTTTTGTTATAAGAAAAAAATCTAATCTACCTTGCTGTATTGGATTGGTGCGTCTCCATGTATATTTTTATATCCCTAATTATAGTTTAATGTCCGATAAGTCCCCGTGTTTTTTCAAGTCCTTGGGGGTGGGGGAGGTGGGGTCCGATCATGACCATAATTTGGCAGAAAGTATTATAGTAGGTCAATATACATATATCTGACGTAATATTACCGAAAAAAACCCAAGTTCTTTGGTTAATTGGGATATACCTATGGGGGCCCCCCGTTGCCCCCACAAAAGTAAAAATTTTTTTAAGGAACTTGAAATTTACCAAATTTTCCTTCCTTCCAGGGAAGTATTTTATCCTGCACAAAGTCTCGAAATTTGAACACATCTCCACTAAAATTTTGGTTTATGTTTTGAAAAGCCTGCTTGGGGCACACCCACTCTTGGTCCCAAGAAATTTTGGACTCGAAATTCTTCCTTATTTGGAAATGACAGCCATTTTTTTGGCTGAATTCAAAAATAGTTTTTGTCCCATAAGTCCCCCTTCATTTTTTTGCCTTTTTTGACGATAAATAAAAGTCTTTAACATTTTCCAAGCGAGTAAAATATATGTTATAGGGAATCTAAATACCTATAAAATGAGGGTTATTTATGGCAATGTGTCCATTGGTTCAGCCACAACAAGCCAAAAACCTAAAAAAGACGAAATTTTGGCATATATTCATATCATTTTTTTTAAAGAAAACATGCATTGATTATTTAAAAAATGCTTTGGATGTGTAGTTTTTTACCTAATCTTGCGATTCCTGGGTCCTCCCAGGCTCTCAGCTCGAGTTTAAGGGTAGTTTTCAGTCGAACTTCTGACCCACCCAATAAATTCGTAATTTTCTATCAGCGGTGCTGGACACCCTTACATAAAATTGGTTTGTGACTTTAAACATTGATTTAAAATAATCAATTTATGTTTTCCTTGTTCTTTGAATATATATAAACAGAAATACATTTCATTTACAATATTATTTTCGTCCGTCCGTCCGTACGGGATCGACAATCTTTATATATATCCCGAGAACGTTGAAAATAGCCTTAAAATGACACAAAAATGACCGTTAAAATTACTAATTATCGTTTTCTTTTTCTAATTAAACATTCTTTGTATAGTATACCATCTCCTGAAGGGGAATATGTAAAAATATTGTATACATGTGTGTCTGTCTGTGCGTAATTTAGGCTTAAACCTGTTGAAACGTACCCTAATCCTACCCTTATCGCAACATTTTTTTGTTTTTTTTCATGAACTTTAAATGTCTCTAAAAATTTTTTGAGATAATATATTTACTTGAAATTTCTTTTAATATAACATTTAGATAATAGTCTAAAGGAATAGCGAAGACCATTTCGTCGGGAAAGATGTATGAAATATAGCAGTTTTGTCTTACATTACCTTCGATATACACTTAATAAATGCTTATAAGTTAAATTATAAGCTTTATAAATAAAGAATTAAACCTTCTTAGTACTAAGTTTTGTTATGCCATACAGTTTTTGAAAAAAATATTACTCGTCTGTATGTCTGTCTGTGCGTAATTCACGTCATACCCCATATTTTTCTAATTTTCTTGCCTAAATTTTCCTGTT